CCTGACCACAGCGCTCCTTTGCTGGGTTGTGTTGGTGTGTCCTGTGGGGGAATCTGCCTGGAAATGGGATCCCTGTCCATCAGCGGTAAGCCGCAAAACCAAAGCCGTGTCTGCCACGAGCAGGGTTTGCAGCAGCTCGCTCAGGGCCGCAGGCAATGCCCTCCCCGTGTCGCAGAGGGTCGGCTCCGCATGGACAACCCCAGCCGACACTGGGCAGAGCTGCGTGGCAGCAGCACGAGGTGCCTCCCGAGCGTGCTTCCCTGCCCCTGCTGCCTCGGCTTGTGCTGTGGGTGATGCACTGTGGGGATCCCTTCGACAGTTTGAAAAAACCCTGAATTCTCACTTATCTCCCCATGAAATCCAGGCAGATTTTCCGAAAAGGGGTCTTAAAGCTGTGTGGCCAGCTCTATGCTTACACACATTCAGTAGCACTTCTCTGAATCATCTCACTGATTTAGAAGTTGGATTTAGGAAGTAATAAATGTGGCAGAATCCAGCCAAGAATGTGTCTGAACTGGCTTTCCAGGAACGGCTGGGCGAGCTGACGGCAGAGTGAACCGCTGCGTCAGGAGCAGCCGCGGACGGGCAGACGGTGCCAGAAATAGCTCCCACGAGGGTTTGAATCTTTCTGCCTCAATGGACCGTACCCACCACTTCCCATCACTTGTTTTCCTCACCCTTTAGCGGTGCCTTTGGAAGCAAGAATGAAACGAAGCTGAGCTGGTGTTTCTGGTGGGATGTCAGCCACGGCTGCGGCTTCGTTTCATTCTACCACGATGCGTGTTACCTGGACTGGTGGCGACTGCTGCGGCAGAGCCGGGGAGGGAAGTGTTTGCAGGGCCCTGGCTACGTGACCCGGTTTCTGTTCGCTTTCTTGCTCAGACTCACTGAGTTTGAAGCTTTGGCTCTGCTGTTGCTGCACACTGCAGCCGGGGAAGCAGCACTTTGCCCCGACCTGGAAGTCCCAGTGCCAAACCTGCGCTGAAATACAAAGACTCTCACAAGTTCCACCTCCCATGACCGTGTCATCCATTCTTTTCCAGACGTCCACCCACACCAGCTGTCTGTGAAACAGCCAGGTCTTTGCTATTGTACAAGGGTGGGTGTACCGGCCCCGCCAGCTGGGGACCAAAGATGGAGAACATTTCGCTTCCAGAGGGGAGCTTTGTCACGCAGCCCCAGGACGGGGACAGCCTGGCGCTTTGGAGCAACAGGACCAGACTCTGGTATGCACAAGTGTGAAGAAAAGCTTTATTTGATTTCTGAGCGCGGCACAGCGCTTAGAGGAAGGCTGGGGGAAGCAGGAGCTGATAAAAAGGGAAGATGCATTCCATGATCTGCAGAGCCACAGCGCGTAAGCTGGAATCTTCTTTTGCTTTGCCACACGAGGTGTGCAGCGACCAGGAGCCTCCTCAGCGGGCAGCCTGCGTGATCTGCTCCCGGGACGAAATCACCTTCCCGTCCTGGACTTCCTCGAAGATTGTGCGGATTTGACGGGTGGTTACAGGTGCTACAATGGAGAAAGAAAGAACCGTTATTCACAGGGAAGGAAGGAGAAAGTGTCTTAATGATTTTCACCAGTAGATTTGTTATTACTACCAACTGCCTCAGAAACCCAATATAACCACCACATCCCAACCCCTAAATACTTTATTGTATAGTTTCAGTCTGCACAGATAATCTTCTGAAACATGTTTTGGTATATCATAAGAGTAGTTTATGTCAATTCACATTTTGAAAATATAACAAAATAGTAATTTTAGGAAATTAGTAAAAAGAGCCTACGCTAAGAAGGTGGCTAATGATATGACAGAGCTATGTGTGATCAGTGCTTCAGCTGAGACATGTTCTTACCTTCTTTCACAGGCTGGGAGACATAGTGGGAAGACATGCTACAGGAGGAAAAAAGAGAAAGAATGGTCAGAAATGGGAAAAAAGTGAGTAGTCTCTATGACAAAATCACTATTTAAACCCCTGCCATTTCTCCTTGTACCACTATGTAATTAAAATGCCTTCTGGAAACTGCCTAGTGTCAAAACTGAAAGGAAGAAAATGCTAAGGATGTGTGTGTAGCACAGGGATTCAGGCATAGAGGCAGCACACATCCCAGCTGCAACAAGCAGCACTGGTACCTGCTCCTTCGCCGGCATCACACAGACACTCGAGGAATGGAGGGTGCATCCCAGGGATGCTGCAGCGCCATGGTAACCACTGGGCTGTTCTGGATGAGTAGGACCGAAAAGGGATACTCTGCTGCGTGCCATGGGTCAGGAAACGGGCTCATAGGATCCTCCAGGGAACGCAGGTTAAGTTTTTATTTCCTTTGCTATTACCCATGTCCTCCCCACACACCCTCCTGGGCACAGCCCCTCTACGTACTGGGCATCCTCGCCCTCCAGGAGCCGGCGGTACGTGGCGATCTCCTGCTCCAGGCGGCACTTGACGTCCAGGAGGACCCTGTACTCGTGGTTCTGGCGCTCCATGTCACACCGCAGCTCGGCCAGCTGCTCCTCCACGCCGGTGATCAGCCCCTGCAGCTGGGCCAGCTGGGTGCCGTAGCGGGCTTCTGTGTCGGCCAAGGTGCCCTCCAGCGCCGCTTTCTGCGTGCAGAGGAGAGGGACGGGTTCAGGGGGCACGGAGGGTGGGAGGGACGGCAGCAGCCCTGCCTCCCCTGCCCCGCGCTCCTGCGTGCCCCCCACCCAGCAGGGAGCCGGCCCCTCG